ATTGGAATCCCCTGGTATGCTTCCAACTCCACCACTTGGGGCAAGTCAGCCTGAGCATGTCCCAAATTATCCTATTGTGAGTGAAACAGGTGATAGAATCTCCCTTGTTCTCTCCCTCTCTCTTTTATTAACAGAAAGAGAAAGTACATACATTTTGAAAAAAGTATTTTAAAGTAAATACATTTTGGCAAAAAATGTTTTCTTTCTAAATAACCTGTTTGACAGTCTTATCACAAAGAGACTAAGATGGACATAGATCAAAAGACATTTTTTATTTAAAGACTGTATGTATTAATTTGAGAGGCAGAGTTACAGACAGAATGAAAGACAGAAAGTTCCTCCATCCACTGGTTCACTTTCCAGATGGCTCAGCCAGAGCTAAGCCAATCAGAAGCCAGGAGATTCCTCTGGGTCTCCCATGTGGGTACAGAGAACCAAGCACTTGGGCCACCTTCTGCTGCCTTCCCAGGCCATAAGCTGGATTGGAAAAGGAGCATCTGGGATACAAACTGGTACCAATATGGGATGCCAGCACCACAGCCAGAGGCTTAGCCCACCATGCCACAGTGTCACCCCCTAAAAGCCTTTTTTAATTAATGAAAGATACTACATAAATATGCAAAGCTTCAGAAGTCCAGGAACAATATAGAAAGTAATCTAACATTTAAAATGCAGAATTAAAAAGAAAAGTTCACTTTGGTTAAAAAAATTTAATCTACAAATACACACTTTCCATATCCTTTATGAATCATGTTTTATAGTATGCATTTATGCATTTTCAATGAACTTATAGACCAGTTTTATGCATGGGTTACTAACATTTTTGCACTAAAATAAACTTTTTTCTTTCAACTTTCCAGAATCTTTGTGAAGTCCCTCATAACTGCAATAAATTTCAGTAGGAAGAGAATAAATGAAAAACAAAATATGTATTTTGAAATGGTGAAAAGCTTCTCAAATTTTATTAAAAAAACATCAATTTATAGATTTGAAATGTTCAGTGACCCCTTAATCAACAGATAGAAAGCTACTAAAGGCAAATAAAATGAAGGATTCCAAATACAAAGAACAGACCTTGAATGTTGTGAAAGAAACAACAGCCTACTGGGTCAGCTATGTATGAATGATAGCTGACTTCTCCTCAGAAATTAGTGAAAGAAATCTTCACTACACTGAAAAAAATATCCTTCCATCTTTGATCCTATATGTAGTGTTAATTGCTGTAAAATATGAGATGAACAAGGGCAGGTATTTTCGCTCATTGGGTTAAGCTGCTTCTTTGGATGCTCACATCTCATATCAAAGTTCCTAACCTTGCTTGTGATTTAACTTCATAATAATGCACACCAGGTAAGTGCCAGATGATGGCTCTAGTAGCTGGTCACAGATATCCACATGAGTGATCTGGATTGAGTTCCAGCCTCCTGGCTTTAGCCTCAACCCTGTTCCAGCCATTGCAGGTATTTGAGGGAGTGAAACAGCAGATAGAGCTCTTAATTTTTTATCAAGTAAATAAAAATAAATAAAGCATTAATCCATGAAGTATACAAAAGACATTTTCTGAACAGGAAAATGAGAATATAATATAAAAGAAGCAGTTCATTTTCAAATAAAATGATACAAAATGAATACTTGGATTAGTAGGAGTTAGGAACATAGGAGCATTTTTTACTGACAAAGGCCATTTGGATATTACAACATTATGTGCTGTCCATACAAAATTATCAACTTAAAATTAGCTTGTTATTAGCTCCTTGAATTAATAATACCACCTGTGGTTGTCTTGGCAGGGTCAAACCAAATGATTTTTTGGGTCTTATATGGCTAAAGAAATACTCAGGGACTTTTCATATAATAAACAGATAATACATCAGGCTGATCATATCATTATAAATGCTAATGTGCCTAAAAACAAAACCTCAAATGATATGAAACAAAGTCCACAAAACTAAAAAAGAAACTTAAGAAAAATCCTCAAAAGTAATGTTAGAAAATTGATTTACATTTTATAGTAATTGATGAAACTAATAAAACATCAACCATAAACATGAATGACAGTATTGACCAAAATAATATTTATAAATCACTGTCCAACATTTACAACAACAGAATAAATGATGAGCTACAAATCAAAAATATATCATGGTGAGATCCAAGATGGCTGAATCGGGTATAGCCATAATGACTTAAGCTGCTCTGAGATATGAACAGAACAAAGGAAATACTATTTTCCAGAGAAGTGACTGACTGAAATGTTAGACAAAGAAGTAAAAAAAAAAAAGTCAGTCACCCACTGACTTCCTACCTCAACCTGAGAGCTGATGGGGTCTGAGCAACTGATGAGCTTGGAGCAAGGAAGCCTCCTTGCTTCCTTCCCCTCCCTGATTCCTGCAGAGCATGACACTGAGCAGAGAAGATACACAGTGAGCCTCTGCTCTGCTCCTACCAGCACTGTAGAGTCAGGGCAATGTGTAAGGTAAAAGACAGATCCCTGCATCCTGCATCTGTGGGAGTTTGGGGGCAGAGCTACACTCACATACTCTACCTGAGCCAGAGAAAATCACCTTAGCTTCTGGGGGCTACCACCAGAAGCAGGCCATAAAAATGTTTGTTCCCACCCCAGGAGATCTGGGTAATGATCCACTATACCTGAAAGACCAGGACTGTAACAATTTATTGTAAATTTCTGGGTGCCACTGAAATCTACCCAGTGGACATAGGGAAGAACCTGCTTGCATTCCTCCTCTCTGGACCCATACTCTGCAGAGTAAAACCTGTACACCTAGTCCTAGGACTAGGGTTGTTGTTATTACTCAACAAAGTACCAGTTGGACTCTCTTACCAAGAACTGAGGAAGGGACAATCCATATCGCACAGTCCTAAAGCCACAGAAATCAGTGCCACAAATCCCAGTATCACTCAAGCTTGCCAGTAAGTCAAGGACCAGCCATCCTCATCTTCCTCAGCACCAAGAACAAGCCCTTGGCTATCACAATCATCAGGGAGACTAACACAGAATCTGTGGACCAAAGATGCACACCCAAAGAAACACTTATTCATCCCTAGGAACTGCAGCTGACTAGACCATTGTGTTACTAACAGACACAGCTGACAGCCACTAAAATAAAAGGACTCACTCAGACACTACAATCCTGGGTTCACCTAGAACCAAAGCCAAGGCAACAAGATTTGCACAAGAGAAATGAAAATAAAAACCATAATGAGGTTTCACTTCACCCCAGTAAGAATGGCTTTCACCCAAAAGTGCCCCTCCAAATAAATATTAGCAAGAATGTAGGCAAAATATACCCTAATACACTTAGGTGGGAATGTGAACTAACACAATCATTATGGAAGACATTTTGGAGATTCTTCAGAAATCCAAAAATGGATATAACATATGACATAGTCATCCCACTCCTGGGAATTTACCCAAAGGAAATAAAATCAGCATATGAAAGAATTACCTGTGCCCCCAACTTTATATAGCAGCTCAATTCATAATAGCTAAGATAGGGAATCAACCCAGATGTCCATAAACTGATGACTAGATAAAGCAAATGTGGTATGTGTGTGTGTGTGTATGTGTGTACACACACATATATAAAATGGAATACTACTCAGCCATAAAAAAGAATGAAATCCTTCTTCTGCAACAAAATGGATGCAATTGAAGACAATTATGCCTACTGAAACAGGTCAACCCTAAAAATACAAAAATATTTTCTCTGATTTTTGGTAGCCTATACAGCAGAAAAAAATGTATGAGTGAAACTGACATCTTGAGATCTGATTATCATCTGTATCCCTTTTCTATATTCCTCAGGAACAGTGACGTTTCTACTATCTACTTGTTGAATTCTTTATTTAGTGGAGGGCTGAGCTTGTGATTATAAAGTAACTTGAAAATGTGCTATCACACAAATTAAAAGAAAAATAAGAAAGGGAAAAGGAGGAAGGGAAGGGAGAGTGAAAAGTATCATCATGCTCTTAAACCATATATAGGAAATGCATGAAATCTGTTCTACTTATATAAACAAATAAAATTTTAAAAAGATATTCTAATTCTAGTTAACAGTGCTTGTTTTTATTCCCAGCTCTTGCTTTTGAGTCCAATTTTATGCTACCGCATGTGCTGGGAGGCAGTGGTGATAATCCAAGTAATTAGGCTTCTACCACTCATGTCAGGGAAAAGGAGTACATTCCTGGCTCTTGGATTCATTCTTGGTTACTATGGATATTTAGGAGAGTAAGTTAGTGGATAAGACGCTCTTTGATTTCTCCTAATCTACCTGTCTCTCTTTCTAATTCTCAAATATGTAAATATATTTTAAATGTAAAAGATTCAAGCAAGGAAAAAGCCAGACAATATACTTAATGACATTGATAAATATTTGACTATTTGAATTGAGGGTACTTTGAGTAGCTTAAAGTATGAATGAAGAATGGAATGATTTGCTGGAAGACAGAGCTTTGGGAAGTTTGCAGCACAACCAGCATGTATAGTCTGGCAGGAAGAAATGTATGTAGAGCTGTTTAAGAACCTGAAGAGATTCTGCTCTCCACACAACCCCAGTCCAATCCATAAATCTGGTACAGTCTCCCAAGGGTATTTTCACAATTCCTAAAACACTTTATTAACTGATTTATTACCAGTTAGCAACTCTTACCAGTGCAGAATGTTGTATGTTTATTTCTAGATTGGAACTAAACCACTTCCACTTTAGCATCATATGACCAATAAATACTATTCCAGACTTCATTTTCCACTAGAATTTAGCAAATTCTAATTTCTGATTTGGACCATGTAACAGATATGTCTTTGAGGCACCAGAAAGACTGTAGACAAATTTACAATCAGCTCTGATGGCTCTAATACCTTATAACTATGACAATACTACCTTGTTTATCACTTTTATGTTTCCATTTTAATTTAAAAATGCTCATAAAGCTCCTATAATACAATGTAAAACAAGTTGAGAAATAAGTAAACAACTTACTGGTGTTGTATTCATTTTCTTTGGCCCCTGAAACATGTAGTGGTATCTACAATTACACCTGGAAAAGAAAGTGAATACAGGGAGTTGTAAGAGAACTGGTCTCGCTTGCACTTAGACTCTACAATGTAGGGAAGATCATGATAGAAATGAATGCAGAATTATAGATATATTAGCTGGAGAAACAGAAACAATCTCTGTGGTGATTTAGCAATTTACACTTGATAAGGGGAAGGGAAGATCCTGAAAGAGCACCCAAAATTTTACTAACTGGCAGTGATTAAATCTAGTTATCCTTAGGTTAATGGAATCATTTTGTTGTTACTTATTTTTAAAAAGCAAGTGATAGGGCCGGTACTGTAGCACAGTGGGTTAATGCCCTGGCCTGAAGCACCGGCTTCCCATATGGGCAATGATTCTAGTACCAGCTGCTCCTCTTCTGATCCTGCTGTCTGCTATGGCTTGGGATAGCAGTAGAAGATGGCCCAAGTCCTTGGGCCTCTGCACCCACATGGAAGATCCAGAAGAAGCTCCTAGCTCCTGGCTTTGGATCGGTGCAGCTCCAGCCATTGCAGCCATCTGGAGAGTGAACCAGCAGATAGAAGACCTCTCTCTCTGTCTCTACCTCTCTCTGTAACTCTGTCTTTTTAATAAATAAAATATATCTTTAAATAAAAAAGCTAATGTTATGACTGAGAAGCAATTTATTATTTTCAGGATGACTGTTTAAACAAATTTCAGTATATCATAGAAATAAACATCATTTTGTCACTAAAACCATACTACAGAAAAAAAATACTTGAGTGGTATTAACTACTTTGGTATTACTACAGATGTACTGAACAGGAGTCTGTCCATATACTGAAAATCCTATAGAATTTAGTCATTTAGCAATCTGTGTATTTTTACCCACAACTGTACAGTAAAAATGGATATAATACATACTTATTGTACTATACTTTCCTAGTAATTATCCCAAATAACACACCTCCCAACACACAAGCCTTCAAATAATCTTCATCACAATGATCCTTGGCATTACCATTTTTCTTGCTTTACACATCTGGACATCAGTAAATATGAAACCTACACACTTTGAAAAGTACTTGCTTATTGGAGTTTACCTTATTAAACATTTATATTATGAAGAAGTCTGGGACTTGCCTATTGGAGACACAGAGTTTGGGCAAGAGCCAGAGCAAACCACCAAACTTGAGAGGGTTGTATATGGTGATGCAGATTAGAATATTGCTTGGGACACACATCCCATAAGCAAATTTGTGGTTTTCATCCTGGTTATTCCATACTTAAAATAAAACACCCTGTTGTTGTACCTGGGAGGTAGTGGATGATGGATAAGTACTTGGGTTCCTGTTACCCTCAAAGAGATGCAGGTAAGATTATTTCCTTCTGGCTTCAGCCTGGCATAGCCCTGGCTGTTAGGATAATTAGAGAGTGAATCAAGCAGTAGATGGAACAGTCTCTCTTTCTCCCTCATCCTTTGTCCCTCCCTCCTCCACCCCTTCTCTGATGCTCAGCCTTTTAAAAAATAATTACAAAGAAAATTATAACATAAATTTTTGTTGATTTGTTATATATCAAATGCTGATATACTCTTGGTAAGGAAGAATTTAATTGCATGCCATATACAATCAAGAGACCTTCACATAGACCTGTTCGTGAGCATGAGTCATGCCAACTCTGTCAGCTAGGCTGCTGCCACACAAAATGCCTGGATATCATAAGAATGTATTGAGGGGCTGGTGCTGTGACACAGTGGTTTAACATCCTGGCCTTAAGTGCCAGCATCCCATATGAGTGCCAGTTTGAAACCTGGCTGCTCCATTTCCAGTCCAGCTCTTTGCTGTGCCTTGGGAAAGCAGTGGAGGGTGATCGAAGTGCTTGAGCCCCTGGGCCTGGGAGACCCAGAAGAAGGCGGATCAGCACAGCTCCAGCTATTGCGGCCAATGGGGGAATGAACCATAGGATGGAAGACCTCTCTCTCTGTCTGTCTTTGCCTCTCCTCTGACTTTCAAATGAATAACTAAATCTTTTTTAAAAAGAATATATTGAAATATTTTATACTCTAGTTGGGCACTGTATTGCATTTTATTTATATTTTACAAAGTGATTATCAGCAGTAGTCTGATTTGCTCACATTTTATATAATTAGAAATGGGCCGGCGCTGTGGCTCAATAGGCTAATGCTCCACCTGTGGTGCCAGCACACCGGGCTCTAGTCCCAGTTGGGGTGCTGTATTCTGTCCCAGTTGCTCCTCTTCCAGTACAGCTCTCTGCTGTGGCCCAGGAGGAAAATGGAGGATGGCCCAAGTGCTTGGGCCCTGCACCCACATGGGAGACCAGGAGAAGCACTTGGATCCTGGCTTCAGATCAGTGTGGTGCACCAGCCATAGCACACCAGCTGTAGCGGCTATTGTGGGGTGAACCAATGGGAAAAGGAAGACCTTTCTCTCTGTCTCTCTCACTGTCTACTCTGCCTATCAAAAAAAAAAATTAAAAAATAATAATTGGAAACGGACCAACACTGAATCTCTGCAACATTTATGATTGTCAAAAAATGGGTAACTGATATTAAAAGAGAAAAACTTGCATTATAAACATATTTGATTCACACAATCCATAGACAGTATGGGGAGGGGAAGTATGGTCATATAAAGATACTTAGTCTTTTCTACTAAAATAATTAGTGTTCCATCCTTGGGTCATATTCCAGAGTTGAGAAAACTATTCTAGTGCATATTTTGAAACAAAAAGTGTCCACAAATACAAAGGTTTCAATCTCCATTAGTTACATAACTAAGAGCTTCTGAAATCCATCTGTCCATCTAAATATCTAACAAATCACTTACTGTTCTAAGAAATAGATCTGAACTTTTCCCTCTACTCATTGGTTTATGTTACAAACTAGGCAAAGAGGCCAACAGAGGGTTTCATGGAGCTCTCATATGAAGATGGCTAGAATTGAGATGGGCTTGAGTGGAGTAGGACAGGGTATTGACTCTTGACCCACAGCCTATCCCTGGCTTTCTTTGTGCCTCACCTATGGTTTGCCCTGTTGAAATTCCCAAGCCTTCTCTGATCCTGCCATTGCCCTTTAGTGACTATTGTGCAAAATTGAATTTATAGCCTAGGAACTCTCATCTCAGGACACAGAAGAAATTACATGCTTAAAAAAATGGGTCTCTATGACACATTCCTTGAAATAAAAAAATGAACTTTCAGGGATCAAAGAACTAGTTTAGCAACACAACATACTGGTTTCTCATACCCATTCCCAGGAATTGTTCCCTTGGTCATCACATACCTCTTTCAATGGGAGCTGTTCCTACTGGGGTCAGATATTTGGATTCAATGAGGAGTCCTGATATGAATAAAAGCGGGAAGAACATACTCACAAATAGATGGCTAACCTTAAGCAACTTCTTTATCTGTTTCTTAAGTATAGATATCATATGATGATTGCAGTTCATGTTTTTGAGCACCAAGTCATGACAGCAATTCTAGTAAGTAATTTGTACTGGATGAATGGGAATAAATAGTCCCTGTAGTATAAAGGGAGAGATGAATAGAAAGGAGATTGGGTAATTAAGATTCCATCACAAGGATTATGAAATGAGGTTAATCTTTTTCTTTTTTAAAGATTTATTTGAAAGGGAAATAAGGAGAGAGGCAGGAGAGACTGACAAAGAGATAGATGGATCTTCGTTCTTGTGGCTCACTCCCCAAGTGTCTGCAACAGCCAGGATGGGGCCAGGAGTCAGGACCAGGCCATTCTATCTGGGTCTCCTATATGGCTGGTAGGGATCCAAGTTCTTGGGCCATGTTCCACTGCTTTCCCAAACACACTCACAGGAATGTGGATCAGAAGCAGAGTAGCCAGGACTCCAAATGACATGCCAATATAGGATGCCAGCATTGCAAGCAGTGTCCTAACCTACTGCACCACAATGTCAGTCCCAAATGTTAGTCTTCTCAGATTCATCTCTGGTAAATTATATATTCACATGCCTCTGATGTCTGACCATGGTTTGTTTCATGTTAATTCATTTCTTAATTTTATTCTCAGAAAAGATATACAGAAAAGATTAATGTCATCTTTTAACCAATATCCCTTGGTCCTGAATCAATCACTGTTCCTTATCTAGTTAATATGCTGTCATCCCTTGGTCTTACATTTATATTCATATTTATATGTAAATATGCAATGTAACCTACAGAGGAAAGTCGACATTTTATGTGCATTGGAATTTGAGACACTAAAATATACATTACATGAAAAGTTTGAAATAATACAATATATTCTAAGTTATATAATTTTCTTAAATAGCATAATTGGATATAAATGCAAATTCCCATGAGATTCATCTGTTAATAGTACCTATACAATTCACTGTTTTCATTCAGTTGTAACCATCACCATTGACAATTTTATAATTTTTTTTTTATCTCCTTAAAGTGTTGAGGTTGAGTTTAGTGGTTAATAAACTGCTTGGGTCAGCACATCCCAGACAGCCTGGGTTTGAGTCCCAGCTCCATCCTGATTCAGCTCCAGCTTCTTGCTAATGGTCACCCTAGGTCTGTATCACCCAGAAGGTACAGGCTCAAGTAGTTGGGACACCTAGCTACATTGTTGACCAAAATTGAGTGCCTAGCTCCCAATTTATAACTGTTTAAAAATAATTTATTTGAAATTCAGAGAGAGTGACAGAGATTTTTCCATCTGGTGGTTTATGCCCCCATCTCTCCAAATACCTACAACAGCCAAAGTTGGGCCAAGGCAAAATTAGGGCTGAGGAATTCCATGCAGGTCTCATCTCCCATACTGGTGTGGGCCAACATGGGTTGCCTTCCCAGGCCTAATAGTCAGAAGCTGGATTAGGAGCAAAGTGGCTGGGATCTGAACTGACCCTCTGAAAAGGGAAGTGAGCATCCCAATTAATACTTAATTCTCAGTGTTATCATGCCTATCTTACCAGCTTCCAATTTTAACTTAGCTCAGTCTTATTTGTTTTGAATGGAGAATGACCCAGCAGGTGGAAA